TCAATGGAGATTGCTGAATTAGAGTTTAGTTGGAGCTATATGAGTTGTGGATAATAGACAGAGGGTTTCTTCAGAGAAGAGGGATTATATTAGCATGTTCACAGAAGGAAAGAGAAATTGGAATGTTTTAAAAGCAACTAAAAAGTGGGTCGATAGAGGATTAATCTGAACTGTCACCTCCAAATCAGGACACTTAGAGGGAATGTATTAGAGTGTTCTTATTGGACTTCATCAGATGCATACTTGTTTTGTTGTTTGTCTTGTTACTTAAATATGTGTCTAATCATTTCACAGCTGTATTTGAAGTATACAGGTTCCTAGTCCTCTCTATGACCCGCTGTTTCACTCATTAGTCCCAGTGTTCACCTTCTTCCTTACTGCAGCCAGCAGTTTGGTTTCATTAGGCAGACTGAGCCAACCACTAGATCTGAGGCAGCAAATGATTAATGAAATTGATGTTATTGTAGTTTATCACCTGGAATTAGGAGAGCGGCTCATGGGAATTTCCACCTTATAGGCCATAATAACATCGCTGACTTTGGCTAAGGTTCTTCACTTAGGCAGGTGGGTATGTGGGGCCTCATTTGCTGCTTTGCCTCAGGCAGCAAAATGTCCCATGTATGCGAGAGAAAAAACAGATGAACAGAGGTGGGGGATTACATCAAAGATTTTGAGCTCCACATAGACTGTAAACTAATAGCCTATCTGTTTAATTATATATAGAAACTGTAGTGTGTTGCAGAAATCACCCACGTTTGAGATTCCCCTTAGTCTTCCATGTTGATTCTGCTTCTACGTGACTTTGGTCACAGGGCGTCCTGGAACGGCTCTTCCAGCTTTGGCCATGATGCATAGATGGAGTCTGAATTGAGCAGGTATCCTCGGTTTACATCCATTAAGCATGTTGGGGCAGCCTGGGAGTGCAGCTTTCAGCCGTTGTGTGCTAACAATAGATGCAATGTAATTCAGGTCACTTTTACAGAACAGCTATTAGCTGATTTATTTATTTTTCTCCTGCCTGAAAAACAGCATGATGCTTCTATTTTAAATGTAGGGCACAAAAGTTTCATCTACATTGTCCCTTTTTTGCAGCTTTTGCCAAATTCGTGTAAAATTCAGTGTTTACATTGTAAACAGTGGTGATAAAATACATGTTTTATGGTTGATGGCAATGGGAGCTTACTATTACTTTTCATCTGAAGTGAAGAGGGAATTAGAATATGTGATATAATTGCCAGACAAAATTATGATGAGTACATATATTTTTGAGCAATATGTGCATAAGAAGATGTTTTGGTGTATATGCTTTCTTTTACCAAGCATTTAAATGTAGAGGTTCTCAGTCATTTCCAGTTGAAAATTCAGTTGCCAGTTAGGTATTTCCATGCCTCTAGAGAAGTATTTGCCTCAATTAATGTGTAATAGCACTGAATAAATAATAATAAACAATTCGGTGCTTTATTTTTTATTATGGAATTGGACTGCCATTGAAAAATAGACATCCGTTGACTCAATGGGCAATTTTGCCTGGTTTAGTGTACAACAAAATACTTGGATTCCATAAAATATGGCAGACGTAAAACAACACACCCAAAAACATTGTGGTGAATCTGGTGTGAATTCAAGCTTTACAGGTTTTAGTGAGCTTGCAATAGAGAACTATATCAGGGTGTAGAAAGACAGCAAGAGGACAAAATTAGTGAGGAAGAAAATGCAAAGCTACTGTTTTAAAGCAGAGACACCTGACCTGCAATGTATGTACTAAGTTTAAGAAGGGCAAGACCTCCCTTTTCCATCTCTTTTCCTACTGTTGCATGCAAACTGCTTTTTGATTTGTATTGTGTTAGCAGTAACCAAGATAAGTCAAAGACAAAGAGTAATATGGGAAGACAGAGAATCTGGGCATTAGAGACGACTGATGAAGTGGGATGACAGAGGATTAACTGGGGCTGTCCTCACCAAAATGGAACTGTTGGCAAGTGTGCAGTTGAGCCAGTAGCTGAGCCAAACAAGTTGGCTAAGACTGTAGGATTTGCTCATATTCATCCACCCCAAAGTATATTTAGATAGCTGTGGAAATATGCTGCTTCAGCAAAGTGGAGTCAAAAGAAGCACAAACATCTCTGTGGAAGTATCAGTTGGTTTTAGCAGGTCTTCAAAACAGCGTAGTTTTGTATGGGTGCAGTAAATGTATTTTCTACCAAAATTCACTAAATATATTCAAGCTTTGTGTTGGTGACAGTCACTGTAGACCCAATGGGCTTTGTTAAACTGAATATGGCATTTGCAGTCTATTATTCTTCTTGATTGACATTTCACTCCCTCAAGGTAAAGCCCACAAATTAAATAGTTCGTGTTCAATTTGATTACATCATATTAAACATTTGTGCATACTTGAGGTGCCATGAGACTGTCATGCTAAAATGATGGCAGCTGAAGTGGGAATGCTTCCAAAATAGGAAAGGACTGACTTTAAAAGGACTGACTGCAAAGCTTATTTTGAAAATGTACAATATTTATAATAGGCAGCCTTTCTATCAAATGAAAAAGATGGAAACGTTTGGGGTGCTGAGATGATGTTGAGTTGTGTATATCATGGATCAGAAACCAAACTTTAACCAGTGCAACATTATTCATGTTGTACTTTTTCTGGTGAAATTTTCAATTTCATTTCTGTTAATTTCTGTTATTCTTTAGTGCTAATTGTTAATACAGCAGCTTTGACTTTTGACAACCTTATGAATACAGGGCATGGGACTCAGTCATTTGCAACCTTTTTTCTTCTTTCTGTCTTACACTTTATTTACCATTATTGTCTTTTCCAATGAGGCTTGTCAACTCGTGATATAACCAAAGCACAAAGCCTCACATTATGCATCCATTTATTTTATTTGCATATTTTATTTGGTTTCAGGTTTTTTTTTTAAAAAAGCTATTTATATTTTTGTGTTATTTATTTAAAAGTGTTTGGAAGGTGCAGCAAATGCTAAATTGGGAAGCCAGATATGCATGTTCGATAATATATAACACCTGTTCTGTAAAAACTTGGACTCATTTCCAATTTACTTTCTGGTTCAATTCAATGTGCTGGTGATAATCGGCAAGGCCCTAAAAGACTTGGGACAGAGGTATCTGAAGGACTATTAGATATTTCAGATCTTCAGAGGAGGCCCTGTTGTATGTCCAAACACCCTGTGAAGCTAAGTTGATGTGTAGAAATAACAGGGCTTTCTATTTACCAGCGAAAGTTAAACTCCCTGTTTTGCCCCCATGTTATCTTAACTACTTGGAAGGTGAACTGGCTGCACAGGGAACAGATTGGAGACTATATAGTTGAATCAAACAAGAATTTATTAACTGACAACAATTTTAGACTTTCTCTCCTGACCCTCACTACAAAGTCTTTATGAGGAGAGGTAAAGTCTTTGAGAGATAGACACAGTTATGGATGAACTGAGCCTCTTGAATCTTTATTTCTTATTTGTCTCTTCTTGTATGGTCTCCAGCTATCTCTAAGATGGTCCCAAATTTAACTTCGACTGGACTTGAATACAGCTCTGACTGGACGTGCTATTTTGTAGACCTTCCAGCCTTCCTTTCTCTTCACCTTGCAGTCACAAAAAGGCTGACTCTTCTAAAAATGAGAAGTACCTTGTCTGAGGCTCTGCCCCTGAGGGGATTCTTAAAGGGACAGGGCAACATAGGCTTCAAATGCAAAGAGGCCGTCTAGAGTGACTCCCCAGAAGCCATACATAACATATTAATCCCTCTAACCAAAAAGGGCTTAATTAGGGGTAAACAGTGGGAGTCTTCATGGGGCATGATACACCATAACTCAAGAGTCTGTGCTGGCCTCCTCTGGTTTAAGGTTCTGGGAGGAAGTCAAAGCAGTGCTATTTTGCAATAGTATTCAGTGTTTTGAACTTTTGTTTTGACTGTTTCTAAACTGGATTCTAGTATGGTTTCTAGACTGCTTTTAGGAATTTAAAAAACTCTTAATATTTTAATATTTGTATTATTTTAATTGGTTTTTATTTGTGAATAACTCTGAAAGTGTTTTTAGTCTGGGGGCAATGCAGAAATACTTTGAACAAGCAAGCAAGCAAACAAACAAACACACAAACAAACAAACAAACAAACAAACAAACCATTTTCCACTTACCTGCTGGAATTTAGCTAAATTTGTAACCTAAAATCTGGTATGTGATATTGGTAATTATCCTCTAGAGGGCAGTGCTGATGTCGAATTTCTGTTTCAATTTGTATATTGTAACTGCTTTAGACCAGAGCTTTTAAAACTTTTCCGTTCATGACCCCTTTTGGCCTGATAAATTTGTATGTGATTCCCAGGTATATAAGTATATAAAATACGTATAAAAATAAAACATTTACTGAAAACAAATCAGCATTTGCAAGGATTGCTAAACAGGGCTAATTTTCCTTTTTATGAAGTACAGATAAAACGTCTTCTGCAGAGTCCACTTTAAACACTATACAACAGATTTATAGAAATATCTGAAACAGCCACTAGGAGATTTTCAGAAAACTTTTACTGTTGCTAATTTTTTCAGGACTCCAACACTGAGCTAAGGGGACCTTGTTTGGGGTCAGGATCCACAGTTTAAGAAGCAGTGGTTTAGACTAGATGGAAGTGTTTTTCGGTGCATGTGTGCATATGTAGGCAAACACACACACACCTTCTGGAAATGGTCCTGTCAGAAAAAAAATATCTTGTAACACGTACAAAGGTGAAATTGAAAGTCGATACAAATAGAGAAATACAGACTCAGATCTGGGAAAGGAAGCTGGGAGCAGTGCTGAGTCAATAACTGGCACTCACTATCCCTTGAAATCAAAAGGTTAAAATGTGCTGTTTTGAAAAGAAAGCTGAGGATCTTGCAATGCTTCCCTTATTGCTCAGATTTTGGCATGAACACAGAAATGTAATGTTTATTTGAAAAAAAAAACTAATGCCGTGTAATTGTGTATTTTGAATTTAGAAATGGGGAAGGTCTTTACATGGGGCAGAGTAGACTATGCTCAGCTTGGACGAAGTGGGCTACCATATGAACAGATGGACCAGGATGTGAAGGGATTCAATGAACACTGTGTGAAAGAACCTCTCCATTCTCCTGCTATAGTACCTGCCCTCACTGGAGCATCTCAGGTAAGAAAGAGCCATGAATATACTTAACTTCATACCTGTTGCTGTTGCTGCCATCTTGCATTTTTAGTGAGCAAAACTAGAAGTCTGATGTCAAACTTTTGGGCATCTGTGGACCTCAGACCTTTACAAATGTGACATTGACAATCTTGCGATTAGAAAAAGAGTGCCCCAGGCAAGAGATATTGGGACATTTCTGTGGCAGCCTCCACATTCCTTTTCTACTAGTCTTCTTTAGAATTGTGTGTGCAAGCCTGTTAAAAGGGTTTTCTTCTATATTTGCCACCAATTAGTCCCACCACTGTGGCCAATTACTGTGGGGTGCTCCTCAATGTCCTTGTGATTCTTGAGTGCGATATCATTCCTGTGACTGAACTCAAGGTAGTGTTTCCAGAGGCCCAAAAGTAACCAAAACAATTGGATGTTTAGTAATAGAACATCCAGGATATGAGCTTTGGACTATGACTCTGGAGTCAAGGGTTCAAATCTCTGTTCAGCCATAGAAACCACTGGATGACCTTGGGCAAGTCATAGTCTCTCAAACTTGGAGGAAGGGCAAACCCCCCTCTGAAAAAATCCTGCCACGAAAACCCTGTAGCTTGGAAATTACTTGAAGGCTCACAACAACAATAACAACAACATTTGAGCATACTATAACAAATGAAGTCTGTTTTCCCTTAAATAAGTTATTTCTTTGCCACAAACAGTGAAATGTCTTCAGTGGCCCTGCAAAATGGTGATGGTAGCACTGCCCAATAACCATCTTCTATAGACAGTTGTCTTTCAATGAGAAACTGGATTTTATTTCATTGTTATTCTAACTCTGTAAGCTCCCCAGTATTTCCACTGCTGCAGATATAGAGAGAAATATATATATGGCTACATTTGATAGAGATGCCAGATTTAATCAGATCAGAAAGAACTTGGATGGAGCTGATTCTATAACAAAAATTGACAGCTGTGCAGTAGCTGGCACTGGCTTCATTCCAGGAATGTCACCAAAAGTTGGGCTTTCACTAGTCATGATGTCAGAAAAAGTACTTTAATATTGGATATCCAAGTTAACAGCTCCACACCAGCTTGTATTTTAACTTGGGGCATTTCAAATTACAGAGACAATCACTGGGATCATCTAGCTGCTTCTAGAAGGGCTGTTTTGTTTTGTTTTGTTTTGTCCTCACTTGATGAATAAAATGGCAAAGCTGAAAATATACTTTGTCTCAGTCATTAACCAGAATGGAGACTGCAACCAAGAAATCAGAAACTATGGAGATGGAAGACAGCTCTGTTGATCAAGCAAAAACAAAATATTCAGTGGGTAGTATTTACATTAGGTCTGATCAGCCTAGAGGAATCATTTTATATGAAAATTTTAAGGCTTCATGATGACACATTCTTCTGTTACTTTGGTTTTATTAGAGAACATAACCTTTTAGAGAAGAGCCAAAACCCCTTTTAGAGCAGAATCTCCTCTTGTAGTTTTTTTGTTGTTTATTTGTTCAGTTGTGTCTGGCTCTTCATGACTTCATGGACCAGCCCACGCCAGAGCTCCCTGTCTTGAGGTATACAATCAAATATAATGATGCTATGCAGTGGTTTCAGTTGTTAGACTAAATAACCTGCAATCTCTGATCTGTCAGGAAAACAGAGATTTGCCAGTGAATAAAAATAGCATTTTAGAAGTGTTTTTATCAGTGCCCCAAAAATACTGTCTCATAAAACAACTTGTTTCATATCATACACTCAAGAGACAAAATGAAATAGACTTTGATGAAAATAACACATTTGGCTTACTCACAACTTCCGTGTGGTCAGCATACACAGGTATAAAAAATGTATTAGTCCAGTTTCAAATATCTTTGAGATGGTTCCCTGTGCCAGCCGGCCAGGGCTTCTGTCTTGTAACAAAAGAGCTATCAGTAAGTTACATTGTCAAAAGGAGAGAAAAAAGAGCACGTGGTCTGCAGCTCCTTTTATAAAGTCTCAGAAACCATAGACTAAAGGAAACTGCACACCAGAACTTACACAAAGGAAACAGTAAGCAACAAGATCATAGACAAACAGATTGCTAGAGAAGGCTTGATGAGGGTTGTCATTTCCAGCAGGTTTGTTCTACCATTTCAGTCATAAACACGCACAAACCAAGGGAAGTTGCCAAAGCAGGCTGCTCCAGTCAAACCTATCCTGGACCTAACAATGAAATCTAGGAAAGAAATGTGCTAAAGGAAAAATGGCAGGAGAGATTTGTGGCCTTCTACTACTAGTTTCCCCACCTGTACCTGGTGGACTACTGTGAGAAACCGGATACTAGAATAGGAAGACCACTGAGCTAATACAAGATGGCTGTACATACGTTGTGTTTTACTCTTGGTGTATTACCTTTATGTGAAAAATATTTCATTATTTAATTGATAACATTTCCATATTTTTGAATTGGCCGAGGGATCATGCTTGCTAAACGTCATCCAGGGCATTCAAACCTTGTTCTACAGAGTCCAATTCTCATTACACATCATTACATTTTATAATGATTTAATAAACTTACTTCTCTTATATGGTTTCATTATTACTAATCATGTTTTGGTAGGGTAAACTATAATTATATTTAAAAACCATTGAAGGCTGAGAAAAATCTCAGCAGGATTTTTTTTTTTAAAAAAAGAAAAATCCTATAATTTTGTTGTGTGTTTTTGATGTGTGTGCCACCTTTAAATCCAAAGGTAGTTTTTAACTTCATTCAGTGCTGACACAGTAGGTAACCTCTGTTTGAATATATGTTTAATAAAATGATTATCCGTATTTCTTATAATTTTAAAAAAGGATTTCCCTCTTCTGTAGGTTACCCTTTGCTCTTTGAGGCATTAAATAATCTGAACTATCAGCCTGAAAAAATCAAGTTATATGATTTAAATGCATTTAGTCCCCTGTATTTCAAAATGCTGAATTAGCTTCAGTTCATGATTTACAGTTCAGTGAGTACTAAAATAAGTCTTTAGCAACAATAGTTGCAGTGGTCAGGATTTGGCTGTAAATTATGTGAAATGTTAACACATGATGCCCATTGAAACTGTATTGTTATAATTAGCAAACTGGCTTTATTTTTCAAAACTCTATTACTTTCACTCTTATGCTGGAATGGAAAGGATAAAGAAGAAAATACAATCTTGTTTCTAAGTACAGTTTTCTATCATTTTATATGCATGACTCATTCTCACACAGATGCTATTAACTTTTTATTGCAGTTGTTGCTATTAAATATTTCATTTACAAAGACAACCAAACCTGGCGTTGATTATAAGAAAAATCTGAAGAGAAGCAAGCTGACATGCTGACTATTATTCACAGTTTTTCATATCCAGGCAAAGCCCAGGAAAACATTCTTCATGGATTCAGGGGTTCTATGTAATGGGAATAAGGCAATTAGAGAAAGATAGCATTTCCCCATGTATTGATGTATAGATGTGATATGAGACATGGTGGAGATGGAACTAAAGCTGATCAAGAGGAAGTTCTAGCTTGAGTTCTAGAAATCATAGTGTAAAGATGAGTGTGTGGTTTAAAAAATGAACCTTTAAATGGTCATTTGCTAAATGGACCCAATTCATCTGTATACATAAACCTTTCAACCATGCTTACATTTCTTTAAATGTCTTATTCCCATTATAGTACAACCCCATTAAAATGAAGGCCCAAGATTACCATAGAATCATGCTAGAGGACCTAGAAAATGCCTAGAGAGGCCATATTTTGTTGAATCTAGATAAATGAAACGATGGGTACTGATACAGTGGATATGGCGGTTGTACTCAAAAGTATTTGATAAGAACGAAATGCTGGTAGGATGCATCTCGGCTAATGCTATCGAGTGCTTGGGAAGTCATCTTTGAGGATTAACATAATGACATGGGCAGTGATGGGAAGGTGATTTGAGTCCCAGAACATCAATCTACACTGCGTAATCATGGATGGCTTCAGCATGACATTAACACTAATTAAAAGTGACATTTCAAGCTCTGCCTACTTGTTTGCACTACATTTTACTGGATTTACTTTTGAATGGACATATACAATATAGATTTCCTCTATAATTCTTTAATGCTCATGCCCTCCAACTGTTCCTATTTGGTAGGGACAGCTCCAGTTAATTATATACCACCTTACTTTCTTAGCTGCTTCTAATATCTCCCAGATTCTCTTTCTTCCTGCTTCTTCCCCTTTTTGTTCCGGTTTTCTTTCACTTGCTGTAAAATGAGTTCAAAGTTCAGAACATGTTTGCTCCTGGGTAACTCATTAGGGAGGAGAGGATGGACAAAGTCTTGTCCTTCCTTATCTAAATAGAATGGGTTCTGGTATCCACTGGAGTTTGGTTTGAGGACACCTCTTTGGATACCAGACTCCATAGATGCTCAAGTCTCATTGACATAGCAAAATAGCACCCTTTATACAAAATGGTAAACAACTCTATGAGTGTAGGAAAGAACCTGAAGATCCATCAAATAGTAGCAGGCTACAGCAGAGTATACCTACACATCAGTGTAGTGTTTGGCATGTGGCAAGATCAAACTTTGCTTCTGGAGATTTTTTCCTTGAATACACGCAGTACCCCAGTTATGAACATCTGACTTACATACAACTCCTAGTTACCAACACACCTCTTCTCACCTTTGTTGCCATGAAATCTTAGTGCTGAGCCAAAGTGTGTTTGCATCTCGCTCCAACTTTCCTTCCTTAATTTCTATGTCTCTCCCCAGCTTTCCTTCCTTCATGTCTATATCTCTCTCCAGCTTTTCTTCCTTAGTATCTGTATGTCTACTCCTTTCCTTCACGCCTGTATCTCTCCTCTCATGGATACAGAGGGCCAACTGTGATACATTTAAGATTTTCTCTGCTTGGAACAGTTGTTTTGCTTTTCTTCTTTTTTTATCCTCTTGTTGTTTTTTGACCACATGTAGCTTGGTCATGCATGTCCTAGCATTCATGTGTGAAATGTTGGTGGGAATGAG